CCGCATATACGTCTCTCGAGCGGCGGTAACCCGCGCTTCGCCGCTGTCGAAGATCGGTATCACTATGGCTAGGTCGAGGCCGTAGCGATTCTTGGTGGATTGTTCGCCCGCCTCGTTGGTCTCGGTTTCGTTCCGGTAGCCCAGGCCCAACTCGAGGAACGACATGTAGCGCGTCGCATTCACGAAGCCGACCGACTTCGCCAGAGTCACGATCTCATAGCGCAGGATGATGAGATCGACTCGTCGCCGCATGGCTTCGACTTCGACATCTGCGAGCATATCCAGCGCGGCGGGCAATGCCGGCAGTCGCGGCGGAAGCTTGTACGCAAGATCGGAGCCCCAAAGACCAAGCATGCGGTTCAGGGCTTCGCGCGTTCCGGCAACATGTAGTCGAGCCTGGGCCACCTGGGCGCTGAGGTCGGCGTAGAAGGCCGAGACCCGCGCCTGATCGAGCTTGTTGGCGGCACCGGTCTCACCGAGCTGTCTCATCATTTGTGCAGACGCGTCGGCGGTCTGACGGGCCTGCTCCAGTAGCGCGAGCCTCTGTTGCGCGGCGATCGCGCGGACATAGGCCCGGCGGACGTCTACGGTCAGGCTGAGCGTCGTCGCGACCGCGCGATAGCGCGCTTCCTCGAACTCGCGCTTGGCGATCTCCGTGCGTCGCGGCAACGTCGCAATGGCGAGCAGGTTGCCGACAAGCTGGAAGCCGATTTCGGCGAAGTTGCCGGGACTTCCGAATGTGCGGCCCAAGGTGAGCGCGGGATTTGGCGGCAGGCTCGTCTGGACATACTCCGCTTCGGAGATGCCGAGATCGTTGTAAGCCGCCTGCAGCCCACGGTTATTGAGCAAGGCGACCTGGACAGCCGTATCTTCCGTCAGGGGCTCCGCCAGGAGTGTTTGAACGCGCTCGCGGGCCCGGCGCATGTCTTCCGGCGAGGAAAGCTTGACGGCGTCGCGACCGGTTTCCGCGCGGACGCTGTCCGTGACCGGCGCCATGCCGCCATCCTCCGTGAACTTTGCGCAGCCCGCGGCCAGGAGGCTGACAAGGACCACGGCTATTGATCTGGGGACGAGGTTCATTGGGACCGGGCGCCGCCGGGGGCGACGCGGTCATTAAGTTCCCGCCAAGGCTTCAGCCCGACGGGTGCATACGGAGCAGTGCCGGACATCACCGGCTGGTAGGGCGCGGCGACAGTGGGAGCATCGGGGCTGGATGCATCGGCAGGCGACAACTCGGGCAAAGGCGGCGCGGAACAAGCAGCCACCCCAAGCGCGAGCATGGATGGAACCAGGAGTTTCATGGCAACGACCCCAACGAAATTGACTTGAACGCGAGGAAACAAGCATCGCGCCGAGCGGCGGCCAGCTTCTGGCGTGCGCGCAGGTCAGGTGTCTGGAATTACCGAGCCGGTGAGAGGCCCGAGACCGGACACGCGCCTAAGGCGCGAACGCGGTCAGACGAGTCTGGGAGGACGTTCGGAACGGTCGCCGCAGCAGCCCTCGAGCAAGTCGCTCAGCGGGGACAGAAGAAGCGACGCGGTAATGGGGCCAGGCAAAACACCAATGACAGGCGCGGCCATGGCCGCATGGCAGGCGACCGTACAGCAGT